GATTGTTCTCTTGCACATGATGACGTTGGCCAATTTCTCTTGTAGCCCCGCCCACCACCCCCACGTTCCATTCCCTGGTTACCACATTCAGATAAGCCTCTCCCCCCTTAACTTGTAGTTAAAGGCTGGTCTTTTGGAATTTTTCCTCACTTGATGCAGTAATTTTAGCTGTGACGGTCCCACCTGATGACGGAGACTTGTGTTGCCTCCGAAACGTCGTGATTTATTATTTTACTTCTATTAATTTTATTTTTTACCTACGTGACTTCACCGAAAAAGCCTAAGAGTATGAATCCTTGCAGTCACGAAAGCTTCAAATCTAGAAAGGGATAGGTGAAGTTCTCTTTCGTCCTCCTCCCTCCAACTCTCACCGTGTCCGTGCGACGCCGTGAGTACAGCTGCGAGGTACGTGATAGGGCGTTTGAGTATCAGGGGACTTGGTCAGCAGTAGGCTAAGCTCGTCTCGCCAAATATTCCCTTTTGGCAGTGCGGGGATTTGCGTCGCGAATAAAAGTTAGCACAGAGCATCGGTGTGGTGTCGCTGATTTATGTGCGGAGCGACTGCCTGGGGAAACGCGCTGCCAGAGGAAAAGTAATCGCCGCAAACGTGCCGCTGTGTGCCGCTGTGTGCTGCGTTAGCGTTGGCTGTGGTGTACGCGGGTGCGTGGGTTAACTCCGTGCGGCTGTGAGCCAGCAGCACGAGTGTGTCCCTCAGAGAGGGCGCTAGCACGGAGGGCTCCATCACTCGGTCGGCGGGGGCGGTGGGGTGGATGTCTGCCCCCACCCCATCTCTTCCCGGCGCTTTATCTCATTTCAAGCTTCAGATTTCCCTTCGCAATTCCTCAACAGATGGCACCTCAGCCAACCACTCAAACACTAACAGAGGGAATCATCGAGATACATAGAGATGAATACATTTACATAGACACAACTAGACTCATAGAGGAAGTCTATGAGTCTCTATATATCTCTTTACGTCTCATAGAGATACAAATAGACGTATAGAGATACATAGAGACTCATATGTTCCCAGTGATACAAAGGGACTCATGGAGATACACAGAGATACATGGAGATGCATACTTATGTAGACTCATAGAAAGTCATAGATACATAGAGACTCATATAGATACAAATAGACTCATATACTCACACTGATACATAGAGACTCATAGAGACATAGGTCACGTTCCCCCTGTACAATTGTGTCCCATCACACAAAAAATACACCGTGCAATCAAACAGAGAACGAATGTTGTGTGAGCATCTTTATTGCTAGCGAGCACTTCAGCAGAGACGGGATCACTGGAGAAAGCATTCCACATAATTACTTATTCACTCCCACCCACTCTCTCACCCACACACGAACTCGCCCACTCACTCTCCCACTCACTAACGCTCCCACTCATTCACCCATACACTCATTCACTCGCCCACCCACTCACTCAACCACACACTCCCTCGCCCACTTACTCTCCCACTCACTCACCCACTCACGAGCGCTCCCACTCACTTGCCCACCCACACACTCACTCGCCCACCCACAAACACTCACTCGCCCACTCATCCACCCACTCTCCCACTCGCCCACCCACACACTCACTCACCCACATACTCACTCACTCTCCCACACACTCACTCGCCCACCAACTCACTCACTCGCCCACTCACGCACCCACTCTCCCACTCACTCCGCGTACAGTATCATTGTACGTGGAATGCACACACTGTTATTATAACGTGGAACACACACACCGTTATGATGCGGAACACACACGCTTATAACGCGGAAAGCACACACTGCTGTAACGCGGAAGGAGCACACTGTTATAACATAGAATGCACACACTGTTATAACACGTAACGAGCACCGTTATTATAACACGGAACGCGAGCACCATTATAACGCAGAAAAATTAAGCAAGTCACTAAACTAAATAAATATATAAAGCATGTACGTTAATTCCTGCCAAATTCACTCTTGGGGAAATGCAGCAATGCAAAAACAGTCCCAGACCACACCAAGACAACAACAACAGTCCCAGACCACACAAAAAACAACAACAACAACAACAGTCCCAGACTATACCAAGGCAACATCAGTCCAAGACCACACCAAGGTAGCAACAATAGTCCCAAACCAACACACCCACACTATGACAACAAAAACTTGGAGCTCCTCACGGCCAGGTCGACAACCCCAGTAGACCCACTCTAAGACAACAACAGTCCCAGACCACACACCAAGACAACAGTCCCTGACCCACACCATGATAACAACAACTATGGGCTAATGACTGCGAGGTAGACAACCCAGTAGATGACATTGAAGAGCACGAAGGCGATGGGGAAGAGGAGGCGGGAGCAGCTGTCGATGACGCGGGCGCGCCGCATCGCGTCCTCGCAGGACGGCTCCTCGCCCGCACGCCCCTGCTACGTGCAACGAAAACAAAATGTCGCCGCCTCCCACGTGCAATAAAACAAAATGGCGGCACCCATGTCAAGGGCAACAAAACAAAATGGCGGCGCCAATGCCAAGTGCAACTATAACAAAATGGCGCCGCTCCAGCAAATGCTCCCTCACTCTCGTCACTGGCAGCGGAAGCAGCACCATCCCTCAACTAAAACTATTGTTTATTTTTACCAGGTGAATCAGAATCAGCAGAATCATAATCATTATGTTTAATAGAGGTTTTCTTTTGGGTTAGATCGTGTAAATAGATAAATGTGTCGTTAAAACCCGCCACTGCCCGATACAGCCAACTAGTAAGGGTTGTCACGTAAACAGAATGTGCCAATTCGTCACTAGTACAGCCACAACATTTACAATCTAAGTACGACGTTTTGCCAGTAATTACAACTAGCCTCATCAGGCGACAGCCAAATTTGTGGCTAGTTGGCTGTGTCGGGTGATGGCGAGTTTTAACGACACATTTATGTATTTACACGATCCAACCCACAAACAAAAACCTCTATTATGGATGATATTGGTCGCGAAAGCCTACATGTCAATCATTATGTATATTGCAAGAATCTGATGAGCAATAAAGCTCTTTCATCACAGATGTCCAGAAGGGGCATGGGGTAAGAACGTTACAACAACAAACAATACAAAACACAATACGAGTGCAAAGTACAAGAAAGGTAAAGAAATCACCCAAACACATTACAAATAAAACTAAATCCCCATCCTACTAGGCAAAGCCCACTGAGGTATTAACTTACCACAAATGATAGCTCGCTCAACAACGAAGTGGCGGCTTGCGATCATCGTCATCGTTACATGGGAATTCATAGCGGCAGCCAAATGCTCTGAATGCATGACCGTTGATTATAAATGTGGAGGTGGGACAAAAACCGGAGAACCCGGAGAAAAATCCACGCGAACCACGGAGAGAGAGAAGGACGTGCAAACCTCAAATATAAAAGCATGAGGGTCAAGATCGTAGCAACGACCTCCCGCATACCAGGTGAGGGAGATAACATGAAAACTCCAAATATACAGCAGCAGGCGTCATCAGGATCAGGATCAAATTTACAACCTCCTGCATACCAGGCGAGGCCTAGCCATCAAAGTGCGTCTCAAAAGAGGAACACACCACTCTCTTACCCTCTCTCCCCCCCTCCTCTTCCCTCCCCTCCCCCCTCGAATGAAGTGGGTATTTTTTAGTGTTGGCCTACTCTTCCACGTTGGCCGGTCCACATTGGAAAGATTTGGTAGTTACCCCCAACAAACCCACATATGTTACGGGACCTATTATGCCGGTACTACTTAGCAAGGTCATGACGAAAGGAGTTCCCATCTTAACCCATATCCGTAGGAGGCTTTCGTGGCCAATATTACCGATGAGGTTTTTTGGGGTTAGATCGCGACAGCCAGAGTTGGCTGTTGCCTGATGATGCTGGTTGTTGTAATCACCGGCGAAACGTCACTGTTTCTCGAATTGTCTAAATGTTGTAGTGGGTTTACTCCCCAATGCACACATACCGGTTCGTGCTGAACTAGTAACGAATTAGCACACTTTGTTTACGTGACAAACCTCCTTTATAATTGGCCAAGTCGAGCGGTGGTGTGTTTAACAACACATTGTATGCGATCAACCCCAACTAAATAAGCCTCTGTTATGGATGTACCCATCTTATTCCGGAAAGAATACGTGTGTGTTAAAATGTTCAGAATCAGAAGAATCGGGAGTCGATTTCCCGAGTGAAGCATATCAAGCTAAGAAGTATATGTTCAAGGTCGACTCAGCAGACACACAACAAACACCACATAGACAAAGATCCCCCATATAGCCTTAACAGACTGTTGGGAGCAAGTACTGTTAACGAACACAACCTATGAAGGCCGGCACTGTGGCACACGAGAGGGTGGGTGGACAACACCACGCCTGGCCGCCTTTGTCTCCCTAGTGGCGATGTTTACTACACACCACCGCACCAGGTACTCGTTAGAGTCGACCTTGGGGAAGAGGCCCTGCAGGCCCGGTTCAGATAATCGTCACTGGTGTTGGTGGCCGTGAGCGCGAATCAAACTCAGGATTCTACCAGGTCCGTGGCGCAGTGAGGCGCTACACTACCACTCCCCACACAAATAGTATCATTACAAGGCATCAAGTCAGCATTAAACACACATCGTGCTTTTAGTAAAATGTACAACACAGACACTTCTTTAATATTTGCGTTACGCATTATCCTTGGAACTGATTGGCCTAGACCAGAGCCTATAGCCTCCTGCTCTATGGCCTTGTGTCACCACCGGTGTTAGACCGGAGAACAACTCCAAAAGGTGAACAGTACAAGGACAATGCCAACGAACACGCTATGTTACACATTGACCTTAGAACCGATTGTCCTACACCAGAGTTACAGGCCACCTCTATGGCCTCCAATGTTAAACCAGAAATGCACGTGTGGTTAATGCAGACTTGACGATGCCTTTTGGTGATAGCAGCTGTGTGTCGTCTATTTGGCATATGAACATCTGAACACACCTCCTGTAGCATTACCGGAATGGGTAAAGCACCCTATTCATTTTCCATCAGTTGACCACAATTTACTCCACCACCACCATCACCACCACACGTGACCTACCGATCATCGTACTGTGGTGAACCCATTTACACTGCCGGGCGCACGGAGAGAGAACTGGGGGGGGTGGGGTTTAGTGGTGGCACAGCAGTTAGCGCTACGCTGTCCTATGAACTCGACAGAGACCCGATTTCGATTCCCGCTCAAGGCCACCAACACCATCAGTGACGATTAACTGAACCTGTCCTGGGCCTCCATCCCCTAAAGATCGACTCAGCCTCAAATTGGTACCTGGTGCGATGTGTAAAAATCATCGGTACTGGGGAGACAAAGGCGGCCGGGTGGGCGTGTTGCTGGCCACCCATCCCCTCGTGTGCCGTTCCCGGCCTTCATAGGCACTTTCCCCGACAGCCTTTTGAGGACTACACGGGGGATATTTGTGTTTGTGTTGCACTTTACCGTGTCAGAACCTTCACTCTTGATCCCTGGGGCGTCGGCCTTTGACAGACAACGGTAGAAGAGCGAACAAAGCAATCATTACCACCATCATCATTATCGGCCATGATCGCTGGGGCGTGTGTGTGTGACCCACCAACCCTCGTTTCTCGATCGCAGGCAGCCACATGCTTTTGTAGCCACCAACGCCTGGATGATGATGACGACGACGATGATGGGATAACGATGATGACGATGATGATGAAGATGACGAGGATGATGACAACGGTGATGACGATGATGATGAAGATGACGAGGATGATGACAACGATGATGATGATGAAGATGACGAGAATGATGATGATGATTTACGATGATGACGGCGACGATGATGATGATGATGACAACGTTGATGACGATGATGATGATGATGACGACAACGACGATGATAATGACGATGATGATGACGACGACGACGATTGTGATCACGTGGGGGGTATACCTGGTAGGCGGGCGGCGCGTGCTGGTTGAGGATGCTGAAGGTCCCTGACGTCATGATGACCAGCACGAACTCGAAGAGGGCGGCAAAGACGAAGATGAGGCAGGAGGTCATCCACACATCCATGGCGTTGATGTAGGAGAGCTGCACTCACAAAGGTAGCACATCACCATCGCCAGCATAACCTTCACCATGACCATCATAGCCATCACCATCATAACCATCATCATCCTCACCATCATAACCATCACCACCATGATCATCACAATCATCACCATCTTTATCATCAGTCATGTTACAATCCACCGGATCGCAACATCATCATCATCACCACCATCATTATCACCATCAATCAATGTACACCTGCAAAACATGAAGAACCAGTGGCATCTAGATCTGCAGAACGTGAAGAACCAGTGGCATCTACATCTGCAGAACGTGAAAAACCAGTGGCATCTACATCTGCAAAACATGAAGAACCAGTGGCATGTACATCTGCAGAACATGAAGAACCAGTGTGTATCTACATCTGCAGAACATGAAGAACCAGTGGCATCTACATCTGCAGAACGTGAAGAAACAATGGCATCTACATCTATAGAAAATGAAGAACCAGTGGCATCTACATCTAAAGGATGTTACACAACCTTTAAAGCAATTCCCCATGTTTAATGTACACGCTGTACAACATGTTTGGAATCGACAGCAGTAAAGCTGGACTTACGAACAGGTCGACTTACGGTCAAAATCGACTTACGAACAGACTTCTGTAACGTAACCCGTTCGTAAGAGGAGACCCCCTGTAATTTAGAAAGCGCCCTATCCATCACCTTGGGCATGGAGGAGCGTGACCCCATGCTCTGCGTGGTCATGGTGAGCACTGTAGTGATGCCCAGACCCACGCGAGCCGGTGTCAGGGACATGTCGATCCAGAAGGACATCCAGGAGATGATGACGATGAGCACACTGGGCGTGTAGAGCTGGATGAGGTAGAAGCCCATCTGACGCCGCAGCCGGAAGCAGGCGCTGATGCAGGAGTAGTTCCCTGCGTCAGTTGCCACGTGGGGGTAGGGGTGGGGGGTAGGTGGGGGGGTGGTGTTCATGGTGCATCACGGAAACACCCAGGGGGCGAGTCACGAAATGTGGCTTGTCACACGTACAGTGTGCGACGCCCACGTGACACCCACGTGATGCCTACGTCATGCCTAATTGACAAACTTCCTTACCGGTTGACCACCAACGGGTTTGCAGGGAAAGTTTACGAATTAATGAATGAGACAGCCTCTTGTCTGACCGTTGACCACACGATGTACGGTGCGAAAGAAGTTCAACATACATACACTACACTATCCACTACACTACTACACACTATACACTACACTATACACAACACAACTACACACTATACTACTATAAACTACTGTATACTACACGGCTACAGGGACTCCTCTACTTATGAACAAGTTAGGTTCCAGAGATCTGTTCGTAAGTCGATGTGTTCGTCCAACTTTTTCTCTTATCGATTCCAAACGTGTTGGACGGCATGTACACTAAAGTGGGGGAATGGCTTTAAAAGTTGTATCATCTGTATACATAGATGCCACTGGTTCTTCATGTTATGTAGACGCTGATGTAACTCGACATACGGGAGAGGTTTGTTCGTATCTCTGAAAGTTCTTAAGTCGAATGTTCGTAAGTAGAAGAGTTCCTGTATACCATCACATTTTTGCGCAATTATTATTCAGTTCAGCACGCAGACTTTCGTGTCCATTATTATCCGTAGTTATCCATTATAAGACCAATATAGGAGAAGGGAGGATTTCTCCACAACACTACTGGTTGTTGTGGTTGTTGTTGTTGTAATTACTGGCGAAACGGGACGGCTGGTCGAATGTGTAAACGTGTATAGTAGGTTTACTCTGAAGCACACAAGCAGTTAGTGCTGAACTAGTGACAAATTGGCCACGTTCTGTTTACGTGACAACCCTTACTAGTTGGCTGTGTCGAGTGGTGGCAAGTTTTAACGACACATTTATATATTTACACGATCTAACCCCCCAAAATACCTCTATTATGGATGATATTGGTCGCGAAAGCCTACATGTTAAACAAACATGTTCTGATAATTATATATGATGGCATTGTCTCACCCAGTGTTAGACAAAAAGGTCCCATTTTGTAGCTGCTCACCCCGAGCTATAAATGCCCTGATAGTGCATTGTCATTGTACTGGTCGCCTTTTGGCGTTCTCTTGCCTGACACTGGTAGTGAGAATAGGGCCTAAAGAAGGATGCTGTCTAGGCTAATGCATTATCTCCTCCTGCACCTAGCCTGGCTCAGGAGGCGACACATCTGTGGCATCTGCCAGTCATCTCGGTCGATCAACCCATGGCACCTGCTGGGTCTGACCCATGACCTCCTCCGGCAGCTAGCCTGGCACAGCTGGTGCATCGGCCAGTCATCGCAGTCAAACGTAATACTTGTTGCACGTGGTCACTGCTGCCACGATTACCTTTAACGTAGTATTTGTTGCACGTGCTGAGATTGATGTTGCTGCTGAGAGTGAACTGGGGCAGGCTGAGGTCTTTGGCCAGCTCCACCGCTTGACCTGGAACCCACTGGAACAGGAGGTCGGCTGTGGTGTAGCCATCTGCGGATGGGACGAGACACCACGGCCAGAGAGGTGGGTGGGCGATTTAGTGGGTAGGTGGGTGAGTGGGTGGGTGAGTGAGTGGTTGGGTCAGTGAGTGTGAGTGAGTGGGTGAGTGAGTAGGGGAGTGAGTGAGTGTGTGGCCGGGTGGGTGAGTGGGTGAGTAAGTGGGAAAGTGGGTGATTGACTGGGTGATTTAGCGGGCGAGCGAGTGAGTGGGTGAGTGTTTGGGCGAGTGAGTGAGTGGGTGATTGAGTGGACGAGCGAGTGAGCGGGTAAGTGAGTGGTTGGGTGAGTCGTTGCCATTCTTAGTTTTGTTGCTGGTGGGTTGGAGGGGTGAGGGGGTGTTAGAGGAGTTACTTACAGCTCTCCAGGAAGATGTAGCACGCCTGAGTGTCCATGGGGAAGTTGCGCAGATTCATGGGGCAGGAGAGAGTCAGAGAGAGCCTGCGATGGGGAGTGGTGGCACAGCGATTAGGGTGGCACAGCGACGTCATCAATAATAAGAGTGAGCGTTCCGCGTTGTGTTACCTCATGGAAGAACCACGTGATAGCACCAACACTGAGTTGGGGTTGTGGTAGCAGTAGTGATAAGGGTAGTGATAGGGGTAGTGATAGGCGTAGTGTTAGGGGTAGTTATAGTGATAGGGGTAGTGTTAGTGATAGGGGTAGTGATAGGGGTAGTGATAGGGGTATTAATAGGGGTAGTGATAGAGACAGTGATAGGGGTAGTGATAGTATGTAGGGGTAGTTATATGGGTAGTGATAGTGACAGTGATAGGGGTAGTGGTAGGGGTAGTGGTAGGGGTAGTGATAAGGGTATTGATAGGGGTAGTGATAGAGGCATTGAAGGGGATAGTGATAGGGGTAGTGATAGGGGTAGTGATAGGGGTAGTGATAAGGGTAGTGGTAGGGGTAGTGATAGGGGTAGTAGTAGGGGTAGTGGTAGGGGTAGTGATAGGGTTATTGATATGGGTAGTGATAGAGACAGTGATAGGGGTAGTGATAGGGGTAGTGGTAGGGGTAGTCATAGGGGTATTGATAGGGGTAGTGATAGAGAGTGTGATAGGGATAGTAGGAGGCTTTCGTGACCAATATTATCCATAAAAGTAGTTTTTGTTGGGTTAGATCACGTAAATATAAATGTGTCATTAAACCCGCCACCACCCGGCACAGCCAATTAGTAAGGAGCTCTGTCACATAAAGAGAACGTTGCCAATTCGTTACTCGTTGAGAGGAGTAGTGGGAGGAAGTGAGGAATCGGCAGGAAAGGGTGGGATGACGTCATAGCTTTACGTCATGTATCCAGAGGGGCAAAGGTACTTAGGGGTTAGATGCGGGGTCGTTGTGAGGAGCCAAAGGATCGGAAGACACGAGGGATCGGAAGACAAGCCGCTCGGCACCGAGACCCTCGTCCGTGGAAAGAGTGGGATTAGTGGGGAGCTTCGGTTAGGATAGGCCGAGGAGTTAAGCGGATGTCTGTCTACCTTTGGTGTCATCCGGTGATTCTGTACGTGAGTGTAGTAGTTAATAAACTGGCAAGAGCCCTTACAGCGAATATCGTCTCCGTGTGAGTTTACACGTCTACACTAGTACAGCGCTCACCGTTTGCGCGTTGGAGAGCAAATCCACAACATTTACAATCTGGGTTTGTCGAGATATTTATACTTACGCGATCTAACCCCCCACCCCCCCCCCCAAAAAAAACACGGAATTGTGGACGATATTGTTCGCGACAGTCGACAGCGTGTTACACTGATAGTTTAAGTCGTTAAATTTCGATTTAAAGCTTTCGTGACTGCAGGGATTCATCTTCTTGGTTCTTTCGGTAAAGTCACGTAGAAGGGAAGTAATAAAATAATAAAATAAAACATAATAAAATAATTCTCACGACGTTTCGGCCACAACGCGGCTGCTTGCGTTGTGGCCGAAACGTCGTGAGAATTGCATTTTATTATGTTTTATTTTATTACTTCCCTTCTACGTGACTTTACCGAAAGAACCAAGAAGAGTTTAAGTCGTTGTTAAGGGAGAGGTCGGAACAACCTGATGGAGTGGAAGATGTCCCCGTTTCGGTGTAGGCGCATCATGCGGTTGTCCGTGGTGATGGTGTGAAAGCGGCCGCTCTTCTCGTTGGCGAAGTACAGGTCGGGCCGCCACACCGCGTCCATGGTGGTGTAGTCGAGGTCCAGGGTCTCCTGCTTGAAGGAGTTGGACAGCCGCCGGTCGTTCCACCGCTGCCGGACGAAGATGGTCACCTCGTAGTCCTGGCGCATGAGGTGGGTGTGGGTGGGTGGGTGGGTGAATGGGTGGGTGGGTTGGGTGGGTGGATGGGTCAGTGGGTTGGTGGGTGGGTGGCGTGGGTGGGTGGCAGTTGGATCGGTGGATGATTGGATGGGTGAGTGTGTGGGTGGGTGAGTGAGTAGGTGGGTTGGTGGGTGAGTTATTTGGGTGGGTGGTAGGTGGGTGGGTGAATGGGTGGGTGGGTGGCAGGTGGGTGGGTTGGGTGGGTGGATGGGTGAGTGGGTTGGTGGGTGGGTGGCGTAGGTGGGTGGCAGTTGGATCGGTGGATGATTGGATGGGTGAGTGTGTGGTTGGGTGAGTGAGTAGGTGGGTTGGTGGATGAGTTATTTGGGTGGGTGGCAGGTGGGTGGGTGAATGGGTGGGTGGGTGGCAGGTGGGTGGGTTGGGTGGGTGGATGGGTGAGTGGGTTGGTGGGTGGGTGGCGTAGGTGGGTGGCAGTTGGATCGGTGGATGATTGGGTGGTTGAGTGTGTGGGTGGGTGAGTGAGTAGGTGGGTTGGTGGATGAGTTATTTGGGTGGGTTGCAGGTGGGTGGGTGAATGATTGGGTGGGTGGGTGAGTGAGTGGGTGGATAGGTGGGTGGGTGGCAGGTGGGTCGGTTGATGATTGGGTGGGGTGGGTGTGTGGGTGGGTGTGTGGGTGATTGGGTGTGAAGTATGGGAATTGACGGCAGGAACTTCTTGACGGGTAACACACTTTTATTAAATCCTTTAGGTATCACAATACAACGTGTGGTCTCTCTTCTTCCTCCGACACACTCCACTAATCTCGTGTAAGCTCTAGGCCTCTGGCTACACCCGATACACTTGACTCGTGTAGACCCTATGCCTCTGGCTACACACAATATACTCGACTCGTGTAAGCCCTATGCCTCTGGCTACACAATACACTCGACTCGTGTAAGCCCTATGCCTCTGGCTACACAATACACTCGACTCGTGTAAGCCCTATGCCCTGGCTACACATAGTACATTCGGCTCGTGTAGACCTATGGCTACACCCACTACACTCGCCTCTGGGTTACACAGAGTCCCGGTCCCCTTAGGACAGCGGGGCTAGGTACCGCAGGGCTCTAGGTCTTCATCCCCGTCTTCCTTCTTCGCTGGTTACACTCTGCCCTTACGCCTGTGTGCATCCCCTTTTATAGCCCCTGCTCACGAGGGACGGAGCTGATGCGGCGTCGACGTGAGCGTCGTTCCTTAATGACCCAATCACGACGCACTCTCTCTACGATCCGCTTTCCCCAGCGCGTGTTAACATTACTCCACCAATCACACTGCGCTGCCACCTGATCACTCCCTCTCAGCGCGTCACCACCTACACAGCCAATCATCACGCACTGTGCATACGATCCTTAATCCCAGCGCGTATCACCTCTACATCACCCCCTCCCACATAGCTTGCAGCCGGCCCGGCTGTTAACCTACAACACAACATAACGCAACGCAGTAATAAAGAACTCCACATCCCAGTGTGCCCCGTAACACAACAACAACAACATAACACAACCTTAAATATGAAGCAATATACAGCCCGACGAACAACACAATAAAAGCGAACACCGTAAAACGAACGCGCCAAGTGTCACTGTGACCCACGCAGTGCCGAGGCGCTCCGGCTGCCTCGACTCCGCACGTGGTAGGTTACACAAAGTAGCGCGACCTAGCGCGAGTCCGTCTGGCCGGTCCGTCGTATGGAACGGGACGTTGGCGACCGTCCGGTGTCTCCGGCAGCTCTAGACGGCACGGGTCGGGCCTGGAAGGACCGGCCCCGCCGTGAAGATCCGGCCGCCGGTGGTCGGCAGCAGTCAGTTCCGAGACACCTGGGAGCGGATCAGGCGGAGACATGTGAGGAGCAGGCAAGGACAATTCCCCCTCAGGGTCGTCGGTCACGTCACATGCTCGGCCCTCACGACACAAGGGGAGGCCATACGGAGGCGAGAACGGTTTCAGTCGGGAGGGGTGGACGTACCAACGGCGTTTCCCCCATTTTATCTGAACGCACTGGGGGCGTGCCACCCGCACGACCTCCACGGGTCCCCGCCACGGCTTCAACAATTTAGGCGATGTGGCCAAAGGTGCCTGAGGGCAATGCAGCCAGGCCTTGTCACCTGGTTCCCAATTGTGCACGGACACCTTCCGTGCCCGCAACCGCTCGTTCGCAATTTGGCGAGCCCGCGAATTAAGCCGTGCGGCCTCCCTTGCCTCTGTCAGTTTATGAATATTAAATTTAATATGCTCTGCCAATTTAGAATTAGTTCGTGGTGCGGGCAGACCCAGCTGCGTTTCCATGGGCGGGTCGGCTTCCCGACCGTACATTAGAAAAAAACGGGGAAAACCCCGTAGCTGCATGGGGGGCCATTCTATACGCGGCAAGGACCCCAGGGACCTGCAGGTCCCAATCAACATGCGACTCACACACCTGCTGGCACAGCATAGAGGTCAATGTCCTGTTAAGCCTCTCCACCATCCCGTCCGTCTGCGGGTGGTACGGGGAGGTACGCACCTTTTTGGTACCCAACAGGTCGCACACCTCCTGCAGTAATTTACTCGAAAAATTTTTCCCTTGGTCAGTCAGCAAGCGTTCGGGAGCCCCCTTGTCCAGGACGTAGCCCTGGACAAAGGCGTCCGTCACAGCCGCCGCCGACTGGTTGGCGAGTGGCCACGCCATAGGCCACCGGGTAAAATATTCGACCCCCACCAACAGGTACTTATTACCCCTAGGCGTGACCGGAAAGGGCCCCAGAATATCGAGTGCAACGAGCTCGTTAGTGCGCGAGACCCGAATAGATTGCAGCGGTGGATTAGCTGCCACGGGCGGTGGTTTCCGTCTGGCGCACTCAACACAACCCTTCAGAATATTCACCACGTCACCCCCCATTCCCGGCCAATAATAGTCACGCTGAAGCAGGGCAAGCGTTTTGTTAACTCCCAAATGCAAGAGGCGTTCGTGTGCGGCCAAGACAACCTTCCCCCTCACAGCAGAAGGCACCACAATCGCATGCCGCCGGGACAAACTGTCCCATCTCATCAACAGGCCCTGCTTAAGCTCGTAGGAGCCAGTTCGGTCGTGGCTACCTTCGGAACCCTCCGTCTTTCGGCGCAATGCCAGCAGGGAGCTGTCCGCCATTTGGAGACGGCCCCACTCAATCAACGACAGTGAGAGCAGCGAGTCCTGACCCCCTGATGTAGCGGGACCATCCCCAATTGGTGTGCTCGCGGTCGCAACCAACGCCTCCCTACCTTCCGTAACCGGAGGTTTACAGCGCGCCGATCCCGATAAGCACGCACATTTGTGACAAGGCAACAACCGCGACAGGGCATCGGCATTCGTGTGTCGCAACCCTTTACGGTACGTAGTCGTGAACTGATAGTCCTGGAGGACTTCCAACCACCGCGACAATTGGCCCGAGGGCTGGGCAACCCGTAATGAATACTGGAGCGCCGCATGGTCCGTCCGGACCGTGAAATGACGACCATAGAGATATGGCCTGAATTGTTGTACAAAAAAAGCAATGGCAAGTAGTTCACGACGGGTGACGCAGTAGCGCTGCTCTGCCGGCGACAACACCCTGCTACCATAGGCGACCACCCGTTCGACCCCTCCAACGACTTGGGACAGCACTCCCCCAATGCCCGTGTTGCTAGCATCCGTGTCTAGCAAGAAGGGACTCTCAAAGTCCGGATAGCACAAGGGTGGGGCCCTTACCAAGGCGTCCCGGAGGGAGCAGAATGCAGCCTCCTCCTCCGGTCCCCACCGGAACTTCACTCCTTTCGCCGTTAACGCGTGCAAGGGCTTTGCAATGGTGGCGAAGTGCTCCACGAATCGGCGATAATACGAAGCAAAACCGACGAAACTGCGCACGTCTGACACTGACGTGGGCGTCGGCCACGAACTGACACAGTCCGTCTTCGCAGGATCGGTAGAAATCCCCGAAGAGTCGACAATGTGACCCAAGTACCTCACGGATTTACGAAAAAGATGGCATTTGGCCGGTTTAAACTTTAATTTAGCCGATCGCATTCGCAAGAACACCCCTCTCAATCGCTGGAGGTGTTCTTCGAACGTTTTACCGAAAACAATGACATCGTCAAGGTAAATGAGGCACGTCTCCCACTGCAAGCCCGACAAAACCAATTCCATAAGACGCTGAAACGTCGCAGGAGAGGAGTGAAGTCCCATGGGTAACCGGTTAAACTGAAACAGGCCCCCTGGAGTCCGGAATGCAGTCTTAGGCTTAGACTCCTCGTCGAGTGGCAACTGCCAAAATCCGGACAATAAATCAAGAGTCGAAAAGTATCGCGCACCGGACAATGCATCGAGAGACTCGTCCATCCTGGGGAGCGGATACGCGTCGGCCACCGAGATCTTATTCAGGCGGCGGAAATCGACGCAAAATCGCAGGGACCCGTCCTGCTTTTTAACGAGCACAATAGGTGCTCCCCAAGGACTGGAAGAAGGCGAAATAATGTCGGCTTCCAGCATATCGTTAACTGCCGACTGAACATGTTCCTTCTCAGCAGGACTCAGTCGGAAGGGATTTTGCCTGACCGGTGCCGCATCGCCCGTTTCAATGTGGTGGCGTAGCAGGTCCGTGCATCCGATATCATACTTATGTTTACTGAAGACATCCGAAAATTCAATCAGCAACCCGCGCAACGCACCCAACTGTAGCGCTGACAAATCGTCAGAGTCCGCGCACAGCATATCAATCCAATCTAGGTCCTCCTTTGATGGTACGCTATTCGTGGGGCTCGGATCAGCCTGCGCAACCAGCCTCTCCTCCGCAGGGACCCGTGCCGCGTGAGCCAGCACGGTGCCCTGCTGAATGACGGCCGGCCGCGCCCCAGCGTTTAAAACCATGACAAACGGATCCCTGTCTGCCCCAACCAACGTGTGAGCCACCGATAAATCGAGACCTCCAACAGCCCTATTAGAAGGACCCAAAAGCATGGCCTGTTCCGAGGCCTCCTTCCCCCATGGCTTCCGTAACCGGAGGGGAATCAACATTTGTGAACCCGGGGGCACGTGCACGGTCTGTGTTGCTAACGCCTGAATGGTAGCGCACGCCGTCCGAATTACATTAGGGCTCGTCAAAAATGAAATACGGCGACCCGATGGTAGTTCAATGCAACGCTGATCAATGAGAATTTTGATGGGCATTTTCGCCAAAAAATCAGTGCCCAATAGGCAAGGAACCGCCAGGGAAGATGAAACGAAAACGGGTCCCGACAATTTGATATCACCAATGCAAATGGACGCCCTAATCTGACCGATAATGCCCAACGATCCCCCGTTAGCGGCGTAAAATGGCACATCCACCGGAAGAAGCGGACGACATTGTACCGGGAGAATATTATAAATGAGATCCGAAATAATAGTCGCCAATGCCCCCGTGTCCACTAACACCCTGACCTCGACCCCATCAATCGATCCGGTAACGACGGATGAACCCGCTGAGGCAGCCACTATTCTGTGCCCCAATTCCGACCATTTAATGTCTCCCCGGTCCCGGCCGAACCCCCCTCTCCGAACCGAATCCCCGAACTCTACTCGGCTCTCCCTCGTCGCAACGCGACGACCCATACGTGTCGAGTATGCGGGCCAAGCATGTGAGGTGCCGCGACTTGCCGGGGTTTGCAGTGATGACTTGGGGCCTTGGTCGTCGTCCAGCCGAGGTCCCATGGCGCGCTGACGTGGGGCGCGGCAACCGGAGGCCACGTGGCCACGAAGGCGGCAGTTATAGCAGGTGATGACAGTAGTCGGAGATCTCGGTTGCTCCAGCTTGCGGGCCGCTCGCAGAGGCGAACGACCCCCCGACCTCCAGTCCCCCGCTCGTCCCGCGATGAACGCGTCCTCTCGTGGGCTGACGACTTGGGGCACGGTGCCAACCGGACCCGGAGTTGAGGCCACGGCAGCGTTGCAGACGACCCCCTGCTTCCGTTGAAGGACCTCGTGCGCTTGCATGCTCGTGGCGACCCGTAATGAAGAAATATCGGTGTCGTCGGCCGTGTTGATGGGGACCCCCAGGTCCTGCGCCAACTTGAGCAGCTGCTCCAAAACCATCGCATCTTGGCCCTCCTCGTCCATACGAGGGAACGCGGCGTCAGCGAGAGCGAGCAACGCCGTGCGGTAGGCGAGCACGGTCTCCGTGTCCGCCTTCCGTCTTGCGTAGAAATGATGGCGGCACGCCGAGGGAGGACCGTAGACTTTGGCCATGAGAGCCAGCGCATCCTTGAGCGTGGAGCGGTCCGACCTGCGTGCGGACGTGAAGGCCGCGAGCGCGTTGTCGTCCAGCATGGCAGGCAGTGCCCGCAGTGCCGTAGCGTCGGACCAGGCGGACATCTCTTGATGCGCCAAGAATCTGCGCTGAAATTGGCTCCAATCCCCGCCTTCCGCCTTGAATGCTGACAACGTGGGAAGGCGCTGCTGAAAGATAAAGTCGTCCTCCTCCTCGTGCTTCCTCTCTGCCCCCCCGTCGGTGTGTAAGATGGCGGCCCCAGTGGCGGGTGTGTGATGGCGGTCCGCCGCGCGCGTTGGTGACGTCAGCGGCCGCGCATGAAGAACCGCTGCCACGTGGTGATGGCCGTTCCCGCCAAAAGTTGGAGCGGATGAAATGGCGGGAATCGCCAAATCGTTTTGGCGGGAATCTGCAGGGCGACCCTGTAGCACGTCGGCCGCCGTCCCCGCTCCTCCCGACGAGCTGATCTCCGCCAAGATGGACGCGGCGGTGAGCAGCAGCTCCGCCAGACGGGAGTGTGCCTCGCGAAGCACGGTGTCAGTCCCCCGTCGCTCGACCGGCGCCGTCGGTGGATCCTGCCCCGTGGGCAGCTCCTCTTTCTCACCCCCTGATGCCCGCTGGCCCGCGTCGTCGAGGTTGTCCTCGTGGTCAATCCCGTGGGTCCGACGGTTCCTCCTTGTATCCATGCTTGGAGGACCGTTTCACTTCTGACGCCAGTTGAGCTAGGTACCGCAGGGCTCTAGGTCTTCATCCCCGTCTTCCTTCTTCGCTGGTTACACTCTGCCCTTACGCCTGTGTGCATCCCCTTTTATAGCCCCTGCTCACGAGGGACGGAGCTGATGCGGCGTCGACGTGAGCGTCGTTCCTTAATGACCCAATCACGACGCACTCTCTCTACGATCCGCTTTCCCCAGCGCGTGTTAACATTACTCCACCAATCACACTGCGCTGCCACCTGATCACTCCCTCTCAGCGCGTCACCACCTACACAGCCAATCATCACGCACTGTGCATACGATCCTTAATCCCAGCGCGTATCACCTCTACAGGTGTGTAGGTGGCGGGCCGGTGGGTCAGTGAATGATTGGGTGGGTGGCAAGATTGGACACAATACAATAACAAATGTCACCATATCACAATGAACACAATGTTGGTTTGACTCTTTTTTAATGTATGTCGCGATTGCCAATCACAGACCCAATGATGCTCAGTCACCTGCTCGTCACTCTTCCATTGCTACAACCACAGTGACTAGTTCAGCGAACTTCGCCCACTTGTTCCTTCAACCCACGTTGAGAACGTCAACCACCACACCGCAGGTGATATAATAACACTCATCCACTCATCTACTCACCCACTCACCCACCTACTCGCCCACCCACCCAATCACTCACCCACTCATCTACTAGCTCCATCCACTCGCCAACCCACCCACTCACCCACTCACTCACTCACCCACATACTCATTCTCCCACACACTCACTCACCCACCCACTCACTCACCTACCCGCCCATCCTCTCACTCACTCACCCACGCAAGCCACTCACCCACCCACCCACTTACCGACCCACTCACACACCCACTCACCCACCCACCCACTCACCGACCCACTCACCCACCCACTCACCCACCCACCCAATCACCTACCCACCCACTCACCCACCCACTTACTCACCCACTCACTCACCCACTCACCCAATCACCCACCCACACGTCTCTCACCATGGTAGTCTCTTCCACCGAGCCGAAGTGTTCCACAAAGATGCTGCAGTTCACAACGACGGGACCCTCTGGGGGGAAATGGATCATTGCCATTGGTTATCTCGGGCCGCCAGCAACTCCGTACCCGTGCCACGCGACGTGCAGTCAAGTAGAGCCCAAAGATACAGGGACTCCTCTACTTACGAACAGGTTCGAGATGTCTGTTCGTAAGTCGATTTGTTCGTAAGCCCAACTTTGCTCCTGTCGATTCCAAACGTGTTGTACGGCGTGAACATTAAACACGGGGAATGGCTTTAAACGTTGTATAGTCTCCTGTAGATGTAGATGCCACAAGTTCTTCATGCTCTGAGATGTAGATGTCACTGGTTCTTCACGTTCTGCAGACGTAGATGCCACTGGTTCTTCACGTTATGCAGATGTAGATGCCACTGGTTCTTCATGTTCTGCAGATGTAGATACCACTGGTTCTTCATGTTCTGCATATGTAGATGCCACTGGTACTTCACGTTCTGCAGATGTAGATGCCACTGGTTGTTCATGTTCTGCAGATGTAGATGCCACTGGTTCTTCATGTTCTGCAGATGTAGATACCACTGGCTCTTCATGTTCTGCAGATGTAGATGCCACTAGTTCTTCACGTTTTTCAGATGTAGATGCCACTGGTTCTTCGTGTTCTGCCGATGTAGATGCCACTGGTTCTTCATGTTCTGCAGATGTAGATGCCACTGGCTCTTCATGTTCTGCAGATGTAGATGCCACTAGTTCTTCACGTTTTTCAGATGTAGATGCCACTGGTTCTTCGTGTTCTGCCGATGTAGATGCCACGGGTTCTTCATGTTCTGCAAATGTAGATTCCACTAGTTCTTCACGTTCTGCAGATGTAGATGCCATTGGTTATTCATGTTCTGTATATTAGATGCCACCACCACCATCTATTGCGGGGCGGTTGAACTTACGACTCTCGGTCCGAATAGTTGCAACTGGACCATACGGACAGGCTTGTTCATATCTCTAAAAGTTCGCAAGTCGAATTCTCGTAATGCGAGAAGTCACTGTATTGTGATGCATGGAGGGGGGTAAGCAATGGAATGGATGGGTAACGGAGGAGAGATGAAGATTGGGAAATATGAGGAAAGTGAAAGATTAGGAAACGTAGCGGGGAAACGAAGATAAGTCCCCAACTATGTGGCTGATATTATCATCATCATCACGTACAATGTATAGCAGCTGCCAAATACACGTGGTGATGTCGATTCTAAGTGTGGAGGGAAAAAAAGGAGGGCTCAGAGAAAACCCACGCGACCACAGGTAGAGAGGCACGCAAACTCCAAATATGCAGCAGCAGCAACAGGCATCGTCAGGGTCGGGGGGCTGGGGACTGTGAGGGCGGTGAGGGGGGTGTAGAGGGGGATGAGGAGGGGGATGAGGAGGGGGATGAGGAGGAGGATGAGGAGGATGTTCTCACAGCAGGCGGTTTGTGTGATGTTGATGATGTGGGTGATTTGGATGATGTGGGTGATTTGGGTAATGTGGGTGATGTGGGTGATGTTGATGATGTGTTGAACCTGTTGTAAAGTCCAACTGGGCATCTGTGAGGTGGAAAAATTGCTTTATAGCTAATCGGATTCCTCCTTCAGGATAAATAAACAGATTTTGAGAGGGGAGAGGTTCAGAAAGTTGGGGGTGTGGGGGCATGGGGAGAGACGATGAGTCCCCAGAGCACCAAACGATGCGAGAGACGACACGAGGGCCAGGCAGCAGAGGAGAGGCCAAGCGAGTCGCTCGACGTTCATCGTTGTGAGTGAAGTAGAGGTCAGGTGCGAATTGCCCAAGTACACGCATTACAGACCACACCAAGATCACAACAACAACAGCAGTCCCAGACCACAACAAAACAACAACAACAGTCCCAGACCACACCAAGACAACAACAGCACGTACAAGTGTCGCTACCGTTAAAGTTGGGTCTGATCCTGTAGTCGTAATCCTTGTTGTACCGGAATTCTGCTGGCTCCACCATGGCATTTGCTGCTTCTGCTGCTGCTGTTGTTGTTGATGTTGTTGCTGATGTTGTTGTTTCCACTGCAAGGCTTGGCCTGCAGGTCACAAGCAGCAGTAATAATAATAATCATTAATAATTGCTTCATGTATATATGTTAGAGGCTTTTCACCAAGGATACAGGACACAGCAGCAGCAGTACCCATTCGGCATGACACGTAACAATTACATCATAAACACATTTTACAAGAATCGATTTACTAAACAACAACAGTCCCAGACCACGCCAAATGGATTCTTGAAAAGTCAAAATAGTGTTTTTTAAGACGCATTTAAACAATAACCGAAAACGATACGTCCACAGACTCGCACCGAGAGAGAGAAGAGAGAGAGAGGAGATCCCCTGACATCTCTCTCTCTCTCTAGAGGTCAAATTAGTGGGGTGGGGTGGCCTCTCAGAGGCAGCTCTGTGGTGTCCGCTTCCGCGAGCCGCTCTCTAACACTGGGCCAGCTACCTGAGGGCGAGGCTCATGAGGAGCCACATTGCGGTGGCGGTGGTGCTGCTGCTGCTGATGGTGCTGGTGGTGGTGGTTGGTGCTCCTCCTCGGGTCCACAGAGCCTCCATGATTCTGTCGCAGCACAGCACAGAGGCAGTGATCCCTCGCACGGGCGAACAGAACCCGTCGGGACCAGTCGTGTTGGCAAATAGAACCTACGAACCCCTGCGGGTGGCTAGGAGATGTTAACTACCTCGCCTGGTCTACAGAAGGTCGTGGGTTCGATCCCGACCCTGCTGCTGTATATTTGGAGTCCGCGTCTCTCTCTCTCTCTCTCCGTGGTCGCGTGAAATTGTATCGGGGTTCTTGAGGGTTTTCCCCTCCACACTTCGAATCAACTCCACGCGTTTAAAGAGAATTTGAATGATGTTATACATTTCCACGTGGTGGTGGTGATGATGATGTTGATAATGATCCCAGTTCGTCGAGCAAGTTATCATTTGTGATCTCCCAGGTCGCTTCTGAAAAAGAGCGACATGGCAGCTCGGTGTGGCCTTAGAGAGAGAGAGACGCAGACTCCAAATCTACAGCAGCAGGCACCATCAGGGGTCGTGATCGAACAAACGCCCTCATGTAGACCTGGCGAGGGAGTTAATATCTCATAGCCACCGTGATGATGATGATGAGAGAGAGACGCAGACTCCAAATCTACAGCAGCAGGCACCGTCAGGGGTCGTGATCGAACAAACGCCCTCATGTAGACCAGGCGATGGAGTTAACATCTCCTAGTCACTGTGGCGCCCTGTAGAACTGGGACCGGCAATGGCTATAGAGAAAAGGTGATTATTATCATTGCATTTACACTTTTCATAGAGACCCACAGACCTGTAGACTCACACAGAGACCCGTAGACTCAAAACAGAGATCCGTAGACTCAACTTAGAGACCCTAGACTCACACAGAGACCCGTAGACTCACACAGAGACCCATATACTCAACACAGAGACCTGTAGACTCACACCAGAGACCGTAGACTCAACACAGAGACCGTAGACTCACAACAGAGGTCCGTAGACTCACACAGAGACCCGTAGACTCAACGCAGAAACCAATATACTCACACAGAGACCCGTAGACTCAACAGGGATCCGTAGACTCACCACAGAAACCCGAAGACTCCCACGGAGACCCGAAGACTCAACACGGAGACCTGTAGACTCACACAAGAGACCCGTAGACTCCCACAGAGACCCGTAAACTCAAAACAGAGACCCATAGACTCAACACAGAGACCAGTAGACTCACAACAGAGACTCATAGATCATCACAGAAACCCGTAGACTCAACACAGAGATCCATAGCATCAACACAGACCTCAGGACTCGCATAGAGAGCCAAAGGGGAACATCGACTAACCTGGATGGTGGTAGGGTGTGTGGGTGGGGGCTCAGGGGGGTCAGGTGGGGGGGGGGGTTCAGGCGACCCTGATGGTCTCCCTTTGCTCTCTGCCTCTGTCTCTCTGGAGAGAGACAGAGTGGATCTCCGGGAACTGATTTCTCTGGAGACGGAGATCTCTGGTGAGAGGTGGGATCATCGACTGCTGCTCCTGCTGTCTCTGCCTCTCTCTCTCTCTCTGGCTGGCTCCTTCATATGCAAGAAGAGCACCCGGTAATCCGCAGGCTTGCTAAGCGAAGCCAGCCTCCCCCCTTCCCCCTAGATCCTTCACACCCCCCCCCCCCCCGTCACTTACCCCTCCGAGAGAGACGCTGGGGGAGTCGTGGGGGGGGGTCAGGGCCCCCCACCCTCCACCTGTGTTTGTCTTGGCTCCGTCACACGCGGATCCATGGCTAAGACCCCCCCCCCCTCCCGAGTGTAAGCGGACGAGAGTCGGATTACTTCTGCACACAAAGACGGCCGCTTACGTAACCCACACAGTCCGGGTGAGTGAGCAGAGTTTGTATGATCTCCCTATGTTCTACAGAGTGAATGAGTGGAGTTTGTGTGATGTCCCCCTGTTCTACAGAGTGAGTGTGAGTGGAGTTGGTATGATCTCCCCCTGTTCTACAGAGTGAGTGAGTGGAGTTTGTATGATCTCCCCCTGTTCTACAGAGTGAGTTAGTGGAATTTGTATGATCACCCTCTGTACTTACAGAGTGAGTGGAGTTTGTATGATCTCCCCCTGTTCTGCAGAATGAGTGAGTGGAGTTTGTATGATCTCCCCCTTTTCTACAGAGTGAGTGAGTGCAGTTTGTTTCTATGATCTCAACTTCCACCACAACCACCACCTCGTCCTCATCCTCTTCCGTCTCCACCGTCTCCTCCTCAACCACCATCATCTCTTCCACCTCCTCCCTCTCCTCCTCCTCCAACCCCTCCTCCACCGTCCTCCACATCCTCCTCGGCCAACCAATCTCTTCTTAGACGCCCTTTACGGAAAGTGAGACGCACCCCAAACAATCGTGACAATACAATTCTACAAATCTGCTCACACACGGACAAAGATCCCCCGTGTAGCCTGTGACACGTTGACTCAGTGGCGTAGCTAGGATAATTTGCGCCCGGGGACGAACTATAAAATTGGCGCTCCCCCCGTTTAATCACATACCAAAATGTAATTACGTGACATGTAGGCTGTGTGGCGGGATATATAAACTTTTAGGTTGAGGTGTAGATTTGTGCAGTAGTTTCAGGCTGCCGCGCCCGCCGCAATAAGTTACAATGTGACGTTGTAAGCCTCATTTTGGCGCCCCTTTACCTTGGCGCCCGGGGACACGTGTACCCCCCTGCCCCCCCCCCCCCCCTAGCTACGCCTCTGCACGTTGTTGGGGGCAATTGCTGTTAGTAGCCGCACCGCCTATGAAGGCCCGGGCACTGTGGCACACGAGGTGGGGGTGGGTGGCAAGCACCACGCACGCCTGGCCGCCTTTGTCTCCCGAGTGGCAATCTTTACAATACCACAACCGTGTGCTCTACTGATTTGAGGCCGAGTTGACCTAGGAGAGGCCTACTGGTGGTGTTGGCCGTGAGCGGGAATCGATGTAAAAGGATTGAATGTTGCCGCTTGCAATTTCCATCCTGGGTTTAACCGGGCTGGATTACAATGTGAAGAGCTCACAAATCCCTGAAAGATCTGGACAAAGTCCCATCGGTGAGCTGCTCCGGTAGGCAAAGCTGCATTGGCTGGGTCATGTAGCCCGCATGCCCAGCCACCGCATGCCTAAACAGCTTTGTTCGACCGGATCGAGAGGACAAACGGGCGCGGCATGGGCTAGAGAAGAGACGGAGTGATGTGGTACAGGAGAACGTGGAGCTGAGTGGACTTGCCGATGACTGGTACCAGCTCGTGAAGGACGCTGCTTCTACTGGGTAGTTGGAGGCAGTCGCCCTCCAATAACAAAGGAGGGCAGAGGAGCGACGCTCACAACAACGAGCGGAGCGCCGGGTGGCTAAAGCACAGCAGGTTGACCCAGTAAGAGTCATAGGTGGTGAATCGGCCAGTCGTCTCAGTCAGTCGACCCATGGCCTTGCTGGGTCTGCCCCTTGACCTCCTGCCAGCAGGCGTTCGACACTTCACGTGGCCTCAAGGTGCACATAGCCTGGCACAAGCGTCGTGGTGACGTCACCGCCACTTAGTGACGAATGGCGGTTGTTGTTGTGAGAGTGAGTGGGTGAGTGAGTGTGAGAGTGAGTGGGTGAGTGAGCTTCTTAGCTCTACGGGTTTTTGTCGGGACGCGCTCTCCCCCGATTCTGATCATTGTTCCTCGCTGCGATCGTGCTCCGTGTGGACTACAGCGACCCCTCGTGCACTCACGAGACAGATTCACGTGGGTTGAGTGGGTGAGTGGGTGGGTGGATGAATGTGTCGGTGGGTGGGTTAGTGCATGAGTTAGTGGGTGAGTAAGTGAGTGTGTGGTTGAGTGGGTGGATGAATGAGCGTGTGGGTGATTTCGTGCGTGGGATAGTGGGTGAGTGAATGAGTGTGTGGATGAGTGGGTGGATGAATGAGTGTGTGGGTGGTTTCGTGCGTGGGTTAGTAGGTGAGTGAGTGAGTGTGTTGGTGAGTGGGTGGATTAATTAGTGTGTGGATGGGTTAGTGGGTGAGTCAGTGTGTGGGTGAGTGAGTGGTTGAGTGGGTCGATGAATTAGTGTGTGGGTGGGTTAGTGCATGAGTTAATGGGTTAGTGAGTGAGTGTGTGAGTAAATGCGAGTTGTTTGCAGCTATTAAGCGAGTCACTTAGTTACACGAATTCCCGTATTGAGTATTCGGACTCCAGTGTATGAGCACTAAACCCACCAGCAACCGGGGAGGTGCACGCAGACTCTTTATTACATTTGCCGATATACATCTGGAGCAAGTTTACCAGCATTGACTTGAAGCAGAGCCTGGCCTTGCTGATGATTCTGCTGCTGCTGATGATGATGAGACACGAAATGTCGAAACGGGCCCAGTATGGGGTTTGCGTTGTACTGATAGCTGCTCAGCGAAATTCACTCCCAAATGTCCACGGCACCTGATGGGATGTGTGAAATGGGATGTGTTTTTGATGTGGAGAGGGACATATACCACCTCAGTCTA